TTCCAATTTGTTGTGGCCACAAGTAATGCTGCTATAAATTATCATTGCACTGAGATTCTTATATGTTAGTACTTTTATTCATATATTAACACTATGGGCTATATTCTCACAAGTGGAACCACTGGGTTGAAGGGTATATATATTAAATGTGAGTAGATGTTGCAAGATGGCCTTTTAAAAAGGTAGGAATAATTCAGATATCTACCAACAAGGTATACAAGTATCTTTCTCCTAGCATCTCTGCCAGAAATGGGTGATTTTAATTTTTAAAACATTTTGATTGAAATATAATTCATACACTATGAAATTCACCCTTTTAAAGTGTACAGTTCAATCGTTTTAGTATATTCACAGAGCTACACAATGATCACCACCAAGTTTAGAACATTTTTATCACTCAAAAAAAAGAAACCCTATACCCATTTAGAAGTCATTCCTCATTCCCCCACCTCATCCTAGTCTTAGACAATCACTAATCTACTTTCTGTCTCTGTAGATTTGCCTATTCTGGACATTTCACACAAATTGAACCATACAATGTGTGGTCTTTTATGACAGACTTTAACTTAACACACTGTTTGTTTTCAAGGTTCACCATGTTGTAGTATGTATCGGTACTTCATTCCCTTTTATCACTGAATAATGGTCCACTGTATGGATGTACTATATTTTATTCATCCATTAGTTGATGGACACTTGTGTTGTTTCCAATTATTGGCTATTATGAATAATGTTGTGATGATCATTCATGTACAAGTTTCTGTGTGGATGCATGTTTTTATATACTTAGGTTGGAATCAATGGGTCACATGGTAAATCTATGTTTAACCTTTTGAGGAACTGCCAAACTGTTTTCCAAAGTGTGATTTTAATTTCTGCCAATTTGAAGGGCATATAATAATTTTACTGAATTGGTAATGTGCACTTCCTTACTGAGTTTTAGGCTTTCTTTTCATTCAAGTTTGCTCTTTTCTGAACTGCTTTTCATCTCTCTGTTTTTTTTTTTTTCGGAACTGCTTTTCATCTGTTTTTTTTTTTCTAAACTGTTTTTCATCTCTTTTTTTTTCTGAGTTGTTTTTTATAAACTTCTAAGAATTCTGTGTATATTTTAGATATTAACCAATTTACTATTGTTTCTTTGTAAACATTTTGTCTTGATTCTAACATTAGTCTTTTAACATTGTGGTATCTTGTGTTATATAAAATATTGAATTTTTATGGTGCTGAACATATCTTCCGCATTTGTGTGTTCTTTAAGAAATTCTTCCCTACTCCTAGATTAAAAATGCAGTTGCCTAAACTTTCTTCTAAATATTTTATTTATTTATTTTACTTTAAGTCTTTACACAAAATTTACTTTGTATTACATAGTAGGAAATAGAAGTGTAACTGTTTTCTTACTGAAATACAAATCATCTTAATCATATATCTAATGATCAAACAATAAATTTTTTTCTCTGGATTCTCTGTTCTAGTGTTTGTCAAGCCACGGATCAGGAATATTTGTTGCTTTTGAAATCAATTTAGTATGTTTTATTTGCCATTTAAAAAATAGAAAAAGAAAATAGTGTGTATCATATGTAATAAGGGCTAATGTTTCATAATACTTTTATTTCTGATTTTTAACATACACATACAAACACATATATCAAGGGTCATTATGTATGTAAAATGTATTTCTCATTGTCAATTGTAATAAATAAAGTTTGAAATCCACCCTTTCATTGTATTCCATTAATCCATTTGTCTATTCCTTTGTCCATACATAACTATATAATTCTAGTGGCTGTGTTTTCTCTCTTTTTATATACCTTCTTTGGCTATTACTAGATATTTGTTCTTCCACATGAACTATGTGGTCATTTTTGTTTTCTAACATTAAAAAAAAAACTTGCTTCTATTCTAATTAGAACTGCTAATTTGGGAGAAATGATACTTTTATGATATTAAGTTCCCTGCCCCATCAAATATTTGGTATAACTTTCTGCTTATGAAACATGGTATGTTTCCACAATTCTTACACTACAGGGGCTATGGTTTACTTGATAAATTTACTCCTAAGTATTTTATAGATCCTTTCATTGTGAAAGAAAATTTTTCCCATCTTGGGACTCCCTTGGTGGCGCAGTGGTTAAGAATCGGCCTGCCAATGCAGGGAACACGGGTTCAAGCCCTGGTCCGGGAAGATCCCACATGCCGCAGAGCACCTAAGCCCCTGCACAACAACTACTGAGCCTGCGCTCTACAGCCCGCGAGCCACAACTACTAAGTCTGCATGCCACAACTACTGAAGCCCGCGCACCTAGAGCCCGTGCTCCTCAACAAGAGAAGCCACCGCAATGAGAAGCCAGCACACCGCAATTAAGAATAGCCCCCGCTCACCACAACTAGAGAAACCCTGTGCACAGCAACAAAGACCCAACGCAGCCATAAATAAATAAATAAATTTATTTTTAAAAAAAAAGAACATTTTTCCCATTTCCATCCTGTGTAGTTATTGCATATATAGAGAAGCTACCAGTTTTATTCATCTTATATCTGGCTATCTCACCAGATTCTCTTATTAATTCTACTGTTTGTAACTTGAGTGTCTTGGGTTTCCTAGATGTGCAATCATGTTGCTAGGACCCCTAAAAAGAGGTAAATAATTTGGCAATATGAAATGGTAATACTGAAATCTTGCCTACCTCCTCACTGTAAAATGCAGTTTAAGTAACATACACAAGAAATTAATTACTCAAATGACTGAGATACATTCCTCTCTCTCTGCTATTTCTCAAGTTGCTCCTCATGTTACAGCCCCTGACCCTGTTCCTTCTCTCCTTCAGCTCCTAAACTGTACCACCAGTGAGAGGCCCCAGCTTCTGATGGCTGGGTAGTAGGGAAAAGAGATAATCTGGCTCTCACTATACCATTAAATATACATATCCATCCATTCAGATATATACATACATGGCACAAGGCTAGATGCTGAAAAGAATATCAAGAAACCAAGGACATCCAGAAAGACAATCAAATATAAGATATCTATAAGACATGTGAATAAATAACATTATTTCAAATAAAAATGACACATGCTCCAAAACAGGCATAGGTAAAGCATGATTCAAGATTAGAAGAAAAAATAGTTATAGTATAAAAACATACTATTATTATAGGTGGAGCTTAGATATATACCACAATAATGCTGTAATTTAAATATATTACATGTTTAAAAGTTTTGTGGGATTGGCTGAACCTAATTATTACATGTATTATTACTATTCTCTTAGGGGAAAGACCACTTTCAAATAATCCACTTATAAGTAAACTTCTAGCAACATAACTCATATGTTTCTTAAACATCACTTGGATAGACAATGGTAACAGTTCCAAAGTTGTAGTACTGTCAATAAAGGGACATAACAAGAGGAACAGATTATAAGAGTCTGGTTTAACAATGATCTTTCCTTATTACCTCCTGAGAACAAAATTAATTTTATTCAATAAAAAGAAAATAAATTCCTATCATGTATCTTAAAATTAAAATTTTATAAATTCAGTTACTACAAAAATTTCATTATAATGTTTAATAATTCAGTGTTAAAATTAATATAGCTTCTTATAATGCCAAGAATATCATCATAAAAATTTTCACCAGGGTCAAAGATTTTCATCTTTGAATTTATATAGTATATAATAGCAAAACGCAGCTCTTACATAAACCATAGTTTATTGGTTCATTCAAGCTGTAAAAATATGACTGACATTTCATCTGGTCAACCATCTTAAAGGTTAACTCTTGTTTCCTATTTCAGATTTTATTCTAGGTGAACTGTTCTGGGCAGATTCTATTTACCTATTCTGAACAAACCACAAACTGTTTCATTGCTCACTCTGACTATTAAGAACATACTGACTTGCTGCCTGCTCTGTTGTTTAATTCATTCATGCTGAGAGTCAGGCATGAAGACAGAATTTTAAATGTGACATTTGCAGGCTGTTAGGTCATTTAAGCTCTGACAACACCAGGGAATTCCTGACATATAACTGGACCTGATTACCAACCACAGATAGGCTACCAAAAGGGGCAAATTTCTTACCATTTTTGGTAATTTCTCATAGAATTTTAATATTCAATGTTAATGTCAATGAAAAGAACTACATAGCCAACATTTTAAAGTAAAAGCCTGTTTCTTTTAATAAACTCAACCTGGAACTTCTAATCAATCCATATCTGCTAAATAAAAATTATTTTGATTGGCAAAGACATAAGGAAAAACATAATAATAATTAACATTCATGAAAATTCTGACATTTAAGGGCTTTTAATATTTCCCATAATCTATAGCCTCCGAAAAACCTGGTAAGTCTAAAGGCCATAACTCTCACCAACAGATCACTTTTAAAATTCTTCGATTCTAGTCCAGCAGGGCAGACTTTATATGCTGTCAAAATTACGGTACCAAATCTAAGTTTAAAAACTTACCACACTGCCTTCTTTAAGATTACAGTTATGTAAAAGGGATGATAGAGTCATTAAAATTGGAAATGAAAAAATTACCCACATGACATTTAGAATTATACTTTACAAGAGTTGATAATGGGGTGGGGCAGAGGAAGTAGGGAGAGACTGCTTTTTCATTTTAGCTACTCAAAAAAATTATACCAAATGATATTTTTTCAACTTTTTCTTTGTAACTAACAAGTACCATATACAATGGTGCAAATGAGCGTTCTCTGAAATTAACACTTGTTGTTAAGTAATGCGCAAAAGATAATTCTGATTCTACCCTGTATTTTATATAAGCAAGAATTCTACTGTTACACAGCAAGTAGCCTTTTAATATTGTGCTTTGAATGAGATTTCCAACTGTAATAGGTGGAGTCTAAATAGGGCTAGGTGGCCTGGAATGCCTTTCAGCTATAGCACACTGATTCTGAAAAACCTAACAAAAGCAATTACTTTTCAGAGATTTAAAATTATTGTTTCTTTCAAAAGAACAAAATGGAAAGCAAACCTGGTGTATTATCTGAGCTACAGGAAGTTGTTCAGCATATTTCAGAGGTTCCATTAGTTCCTCATCCATCAGGTCTTTCTTATAGCTGGAAAAAAATTAAGAAACACAAAGCCAAGGTAAATATTATTTTTAAATATGCCAAATGTTTAAATATGCCAAATATGAAATATATTAAAAATATATATCAATATGAGATTCTGAATTAAGCAGTATTTGTCAGTAATCTATGAAAAAACACCTAATGACAATTTTTAAATGACATAACCATGAATACATTCAGATTGCATTTAATTACTATTTAATAAGAGTAGCTAACATCACCTAATAGTCTCAGATCCTGTTTTTCACTCTGAGACTTAAAAATGTTTAAGAACTCCATGTTCACTGCATATGCTTTTTATCATAGTATTTAAATAAAGGTCTTCAAAACCTGGCTCCAACCATTCAAGCCTCATCTCCAGCAACTCCTTCTGTACGTCCAAGTCAACAGTTTCAGCCATTCCAACTAGTGGTCACCTGCCCATGGGCTTGGCATCTCCATGATTCTGAGTTTCTCCACTGTGTTTCCTGTTTGGACCAACCACAACTCCTTCTTTCTTTACTCTTCTTTCAAATATAATAATTTATTTAGACGCATCTAGGTACATTTTTTACCTCCTTGAAGACAAAAATTATGTCTTATTCTTCTTTGTATATCCAATGTTTACCATATTATACTCAATAAATGTTTGCTGAATGAATGTATGAATAAAGCAAAGACAACAATAATTCTGGGAGGTGATTCTACATGGAAAATATTTTCTTTAATATCTATATTTACAATGAGATGCAGAGTTGATACAACACATACATAACAGGGTATAAAACAGTAAAGTGCAGAGTAGGAACAAAAAATAAAATCTCCCCAAATGAAGAGAATTAGAAAAAATATTCTGAAAAAAGTATTGACCCTTTTCAAAATAGCAAATAAACATTAGATTCATTAGATTACAAAACAATAAGACCGAAACACATTTAAACTTTCACTTACCTTTTATTCCTGTAAACTACACATCACCTTATCAACTTAAAATCAAATTTAAAAATTGAAACATTGAATTATCTTGAAAAATAATAAAACAAGACTAGTATAAGTCTCCAGGGCTGTAGTTAAGAAATCTGATGATGAGAAATCTGGAATCTCTCCCAGTAAAAAGGCAGATATACAAATAAGGACAAAATTTTGTATATAAGAGTATAAGAAACCTCTTAGCTAGGTAAAAGTTTGTGCATACTTTGCAGATTAGCATAAAAATAATTAATTTGGGGGAACTTTGAAGACTCTCACTAATGATGGAAAAAACTGTCTTAAAACATTGTTTTATATAGACAGAAAGTAGAACAGTGGTTTCCAGGGGCAAAGGAGGGGAGAAAGGGGAATTACTGTTTAATGGGTACAATTTCAGTATTAAAAGGTGATAAAAATTCTGGAGATAGTTGGTGGTGATGGTTACAGGATAATGTTAACATACTTAATGCCACTGAACTGCATACTTTAAAAGGGTTTAAATGGTCAATTTTATGTTTTGTATAGGCTGTGGGCTGAACTGTGTCTCCTCAAAATTCATACGTTGAAGCCCTAATGTTGAGTACCTCAGAATGTGACTGTAATTGGAGACAGGATCTTTAAAAAGATGATTAAGGTTAAATGAGGTCATTAGGGTAGGTCCTAACCCAATATGACAGTGTCCTTATAAGAAACTAGGACACAGAGAAAGACAAAGTAAAGACCATGTGAAGACACCAGGAGAAGATTTGACCATCTATAAGCCAACAAGAGAGGCCTTATAAGAAAACAATCCTGCCAGCACCTTGACCTTGGACTTCTAGATTCCATAATTGTGAGGAAATAAATTTCCGTTGCTTAAGCCACTCAGTCTGTGGTACTTTGTTATGGCAGCCCTGGCAAACTAATACAGTATATATTACCACAATTAAAAATAAAATAAATATTCATTGACCCAAAAACCCACATTATTTTTAAATAGTTCACAATGTACATTTAAAAAGTCTCTCTACATTTTTAGGTATATAAAACATATACCAAGCAACAAAAGGAAAATAGATATATTGAATATTATCAAAATTAAAAATTTTTGTGCTTCAAAGGACACTACCAAGAAAGTGAAAAAAACCCAAAAATGGGAGAAAATTTTTGTAAATCATATACTTGAAAAGATTTGTATCAAAAATATATTACAGGAACCTAATGAAACTTAAAAGTTTTTGCACAGCAAAGGAAACCATAAACAAGACGAAAATAGAACCCTCAGAATGGGAGAAAATATTTGCAAATGAAGCAACTGACAAAGGATTAATCTCCAAAATTTTCAAGCAGCTCATGCAGCTCAATATCAAAAAAAACAAACAACCCAAACCAAAAATGGGCAGAAGACCTAAATACACATTTCTCCAAAGAAGATATACAGATTGCCAACAAACACATGAAAGCATGCTCAACATCACTAATCATTAGAGAAATGCAAATCAAAATTACAATGAGGTATCACCTCACACCAGTT